AGTCGGGCTGGGGGCAGTCGGCAGGCAGCTGCCCCAGAGATCTGTGTCCAGCAGAGCTGCTCTCCGAGACACCAGCTCTCCATTCCAGCACCCCCCACCAGGACACATCCCAGACAGGCAGGAGACAGGGCTGGGTGATGGAGGAGGGGCAGATCACTGACTCTGAGGTTAGAAGCCAGCCCCCCCGCCCTGTGAGGACAAATCCCATCAAAACCAGGGTGGGGCAGCATCCAGACAAGTGGCTTGGTACTAGACCACAATGAAAACCGTCTGCAGACAAACACGCTGTGGTGACCGACTCAGCACCACGCAGCGAAACCCTTCCCTTTGCACGGCCGCTGGCGGCAGACAGGACCCCGGGCTGCATGGGCCTTTGCTCCGACCCAGCCTGGCCCTCCCATGTTCTTAGGAGAAGGGATTTTGGGGTGTCCTGCAGGGTCTCTTCTGCCAAGACGTCCCCAGAGCGAGGTGTCCCGACCGACAGAGCCCGGCTCCTCCCTGGCACTCAACCTGCCTGGCCTCTAGGTTGATGCAAGCAACTGCCTGGTAGCAATAACATCAAGAGGTATGTGTGCGAGAGCGTGTGTGTTTGTGTGCGTGTGAGCGGTTTTGTGTGCGCACGTGTGCATGTGTGTGTGCATTTGTGAGTGTGTGTGCATGTGCGCATGTGTGAATGTGTGTGTGCATTTGTGAGTGTGTGTGCATGTGCGCATGTGTGAATGTGTGCGTGCGTGCTTTTCTGTGCACGCGTGTGAATGTGTGTGGGCGTGTTTGTGTGCATGTGTGTGTGTGTGTGATGTGTGAGTGTACATATGCCTTTTACTTTGTATTCTCAATAAATGTGGCATAGTGTGTTTCTCCCTCAAAAGAGCCCGTGTGCCTCTGAGCACCCCAGAGACACCTGCTTCTCGCTCAGGTACTGCATGCCCTTGGCCACGTCGGAGGCAAACTGGAGGAGCTGCTGGGAGGTGAGGGTGGAGGCCGTCCCGTGCTCCTTTGCGAAGGCCGGGTCTGTCTCTAGCACGCGGCTTTTCCGGAGGAAGTCCAGCAGGTTCCCGTAGGGCGCGTACTCAATGGCAATGTACAGGTAGCCTGAGGGGAGAGGGAGAGAGGCCGTCAGCACCTGTCTGGCTCCTCCCGAGCAGCTCTGGGGAGAAGTGCAGAGAAGGAAAAGGGACTGGACTGCCGGGGGGGGGGGGCAGGTCCCACCTTTGTTCTCACAGGCCCCCAGAAGGTTGATGATATTGGGGTGGTGCCCCAGTTTGCACAGCACCTCCAGCTCCCCTGCAAAGTCCCGGTGGTCGTTCTCCGACGCAAACTCTGAAACACACCGGAGCAGACGCTGCAGTCGCAGACCTGAGACACCGGCCCCCG